AAGCTAGAAGGAATTACTCCAGAAGAATGTTGGTCTGGTGTGAAGCCTAGCTTAAGTCATCTGAAAGTATTTGGATCTATTGCACATAGACATGTGCCAGATCAGTTGAGAAAGAAACTTGATGACAAGTCAAGTCAAATGATCCTAGTTGGATATCATTCGACATGAGGCTACAAGTTGTTCGATCCAGAGAACAAGAAGATTGTGATCAGCAGGGACGTGATCATAGATGAGTTCAAAGAATGGGATTGGACTGCAAATGTCAAGAAAGATTCAGTGGGAATCTTATTCGAAGAGCCAGAAACTCAAGTCGAAAGAGAAGTTCGATAAGAGGAGCCAGCAGATATACCCAGTACAAGCAGACCTCAAAGAACAAGATGCATGCCTGCAAGATTGCAAGATTGTGTGATTACATCAGATGATGTAATAGATAATGAAGGTGAGCTGGTACATTATGCTTTCTATGCAGATGTTGAACCTGTTAATGCAGCTGAAGCATTAAAGGATTCGAAGTGGGTGAAAGCAATGAACAAAGAAGTAAAGTCTATCGAAGACAACAACACTTGGTCACTTGTCTAATTGCCTCAAGGCAAGAAGGCAATTGATGTCAAGTGGGTATACAAAGTGAATACGAATTCGAAAGGTGAAGTAACTCGACACAAAGCAAGACTTGTGGCGAAAGGATTTCTACAGAAAGAAGGAATAGACTTCGACGAAGTTTTTGCACCTGTTGCTAGGATCGAAACAATCAGGTTGGTTGTTGGTCTAGCAGAAATCAACAGTTGGCACATATGTCAGATGGACGTGAAGTGTGCATTCCTAAATGGACCCTTAGATGAAGAAGTCTATGTTAAACAACCAGTTGGGTTTGTGAAACATGACGAAGAAAGAAAGGTGTACAGGCTACATAAAGCCCTGTATGGTTTGAAACAAGCTCCAAGGGCTTGGAATAAGAAAATTGATAGTTTTCTAAGGGAGAAGGAATTTGAGAAGTGCATAACTGAACATGGAGTATATGTAAGAAGAAGCAAGAGTAAATTGCTTATACTATGTCTCTATGTAGATGATTTGTTGATAACAGGTAACTGTAAAAGTGAGATCGAAGACTTCAAAGTTGACCTTAGCAAGGAATTCGAAATGTCTGATTTGGGTGAGATTTCATATTTCCTTGGTATCGAATTCTACAAGAGCAGTAGAGGTTTGATGATGCATCAAAGAAGATATGCAGGAGAAATTCTCAAAAGGTTTGAGATGGAAGAATGCAATGCAACTTCAACACCTGCAGAACCAAGACTGCAAATGTCGAAAGATGCAGATGAAGATGATGTTGATCCAACCCAATACATAAGACTTATTGGATCATTGAGATACCTTTGTCATACAAGGCCTGACTTAGCATACATCGTAGGTATGGTAAGTAGATTCATGCAGAAGCCAAAGGTATCACATCTAGCAGCTGTGAAGAGGATACTAAGGTATCTTAAAGGAACTTTCGATTATGGAATTTTGTTTCCTGCAGTTGATAAAGGAAAAGAATGCAAGTTAGTGGGATACACTGATTCGAGTTGGTGTAGTGATGTTGAAGATCGAAAGTCAACAGCAGGATATGTGTTTATGCTAGGTGGTGCAACAATTGCTTGGAGTTCGAGAAAAGAACCAGTAGTGGCATTGTCATCATGTGAAGCAGAATACATAGCTGCTTCTCTTTGTGCATGTCAAGCAACCTGGATGGTGAACTTGGTCGAAGAGATAACAGGGAAAAATCATGGAGCAATTACCATGAAGATAGACAGCATGTTAGTTATCAATCTGGCAAAGAACCCAATAGCACATGGTCGAAGTAAGCACATCGAAATGAGGTTCCATTATCTTCGAGAGCAGGTAGCAGATGAGAAGATGAATTTGGAACACTGCAGAACTGAGAATCAGATTGCAGACATCGTGACGAAGGGAGTGCAGGTCGAAGTATTCAGAAAGCTAAGGGCCATGATGAACATTGACAGTTTAGACACAATGAATTAGGTGGTGTGTTAAATTGTAATTCATATGTGTCAAAAGAAGATTTGATTTGTTTAGATTTAAATAGATTTGAATTTAAATCTAGATTAGATTTGATTTAGTAAAGAGATATTTTGGGCTTGGGTTTAGCTTAGAGAGCAAGCTAACCTAAATCTATAAATAGAGGGAGTAACCCCTATTTTGTAATCAAGTCATTCACAGTATTTTGCAGTTGTAAAGTGAATTAAATAAAGATTTCACAGTTTGTGGGCAGAATAGAAATTCTGCAGAAATATCTCCATTATTCTTTTATTTGTTTGTCATAACTAATCATCAGTGGTGGTCGAAATTCATCATAAAGTATTGGTGGATTTCCAACAGTAATAGCTAGGACTTTAAACTTTCTGCATTTTATTTTCGCAAACTATAAACTGCTTAGATGTATGTTAATAGGATTGTATGGAAAGACAAACTGAAAATTAAAACAGTAGATCACCTTAATTGTGCAAAGATTAAATAACTGAAATCAAACACATGCACATGTTCACTCTTAGGGTATGTCTCACTTGATTTCCTCGGAAAACAATGGTCATGTCCCTCGAACGTAGGGATATCTTAGCAAAAGACCATCAATCTAAAAGTCATCATAAAGATCATAGTCCCTTACTGTCCCTCGAGTTACCTACGAGAAATGATCTTGTCCCTCGATGTTGCCTACGAATATATGATGACAGTCCCTTCGAAATGCTAATGTATTCTTACATGTTGCCTTCAATGACCATTACGTCCCTTTCGAATTGACCCTTACAACTCCAACGACGGTGCTACCTATTTCTCAATAGTAGGATAGCGCTGTCTAAAGGAAACAAGAATAGAAACAATCCTTTTTTCGAGTAGGTAGATGCTAGTAGGTACTTGCTCAAATCAAAACTTTTCACACTTACACTTTTCAAACAAATTTTTCAAAAAACAACTTCGTAACACTCTTGAAGACAAAAGCAAGGGTTAAAACGAAGTAAAAAAAAACTTTTCAAAACAAACACACAAACATGGAAGCAATTTTAAAATGATGAGCAAGTACCTAAGAGTCCATGGAAAACCATGGATAGAAAGGGTGTTAATACCTTCCCTTTCTATAATCTACCCCCCGTACTCAGAAACATCTCGAAAAAGGATTTTTTTCTGTACTTTTTTCCTTTCCGATTGGATGAAATAAAAGTCGGTGGCGACTCTTGCTTACCGCGACATTTTGCGAACAAAAAACGCAAAACGCAAACCAATATTAAACAGTCGGTTCTGCCACCGTATCACACTCTTCCTTTGTCAATTTCGACAAGTCTTTCCCTTCTTCTATCGCCACCACTATGTGTCAAACTTAGGAGCTAAAGATCTCAAGATCTTTGAAATAACAATCTTTTTGATTCACTAGTTTTGTAACTCTAGTGAAGAAATCATATATGCTCTCAATATCTTCCATCTGAAGCAATTTGTATGTTCTCTTGTGAGTTTGTAACCTCACTTCTTTCACCTTTTCTGCACCACCAAAGAACATCTCAAGAACATCCCAAGCTTCTTTTACAGATTCTGAATCACTTACTTTTTCAAAATTTTCTGGACTCACACATTGATGAATTATAAAGAGTGCTTTATAACTCAACTTCTCAATTTCTGTTTGTTTCTTCCTTTCTTCTTCTGAAGAGTTTTCTCCAAGCGCTTTGAATCCATATTTTACAAGATCTCAAAGATCTTGACACCTGAATACAACTTTCATCTGTTTGCACCAATTCTCATAGTTGTCTACTTTTAGAATTGGTAAAGTTGCTGGATAATTTGCATTCCCATAATTTGTCATCGTGAATTCTTCAATCGTTCTTGATTGGTACTTCTCTTGAATCGAAACCGAGCTCTTGATACCAGATGTTGGAAATCCACCAAGTATCTATGATAAATTTCTACCTCAATGACAATGAATTATGAGAAAAACAAAAAAAGAAAGAAGACAATTATTTTCTGCAGAGTTTCTCTCTGCCCATAAACTATGGAAAACTTTGTTATTCACTTGCAACTGCAAATTCTGTGAATACAACTTAATTGACTTGATTACAAAATAGGGGTTACTCCCTCTATTTATATATTTAGCTTGCACCCTAAGTTCAAAACTATAAAAGCCCAAAATACTTATTTTGGTGTTAAATCAAATCTATTCTGTTTTACATCTAAATCAAATTTTATTTAAATCTAAAATAAATCTAATCTCTTTTAACACAATCAAATTACAATTTAACACGTATCATCTCTAATTGGCTTCTTACATACATACAAATACATTTATCCATAAGTCACTGGTCTTTTGTCTATAATATAATATTTTAAATCAATAAAGTTAAACATGTGCATCAAACATGTTTTGAATTGATCCAAACTAAATGTCACCTTATATGCCTTATATTAGTAAGTGATAATTGCATGAGGTGAAAAACAGTGAGAATTAGTCGTAAGAAGAAACATTGATGCAAATAAATCTTTACATGATTTTCTATTTTGTAGGGAAAATGAGGTAGTGGTATTTTGGTAATTGAAGAAGAAACTCCTGATAGCATGACCAAGACGTGTAATACGTGTATGTTATAAAGGTACAAAACGAATGAGTTACGTGTAGTTCAAGTGAGCACCCTTCAACACAACACAATACATTCTTAGTTAATAACTACTATTTACTTTCTCTCTGATCTCTCGCTACATCTGAAAGACTGTTCTTTTTTCTACTTTGGTTTGGTACGAGGATGTTGTTCTTTATCATGTTCTTCTATCCCACAGGTAAGACGAGGTACTTGTTTTTGTTGTTCTTGTTCTTGTCGGTTAATTAATTAATTAATTAATTTATTTATTTATTTATGAGTTTTTAATTTTAATTGGACAGTTTTTTTATGAGAGATTTATGAATGGGGTTTGTTATCAAAAGAAGGAAGAAAGAATTAGAAGAAAAAGAAAATAGAGAAATCATGCCAAAGTCTTTCAAGGATTCCCTCAAAGCTCTTGAAGCTGACATTCATTTTGCCAATACACTGTAATCATGTGATTTTTTTTTATTTGATCTTGGGATTACAAGATTCAATTTGTGTGAACCTTTTCTTTGATGTTATAATATAAGTTGATTTTGATTATTTTGATTAATCTTTGTGGCAAATATGTTTTGAATCAGAGCTTCTGATTATCCAAGTGATCCAGATGGTGCTTGCCTTCAAATGAGATTGTCCTATAGCCCAGCTGCCCATTTCTTCCTCTTTTTTGTTCAGTGGACTGACTGTTACCTCGCCGGAGCCTTAGGGTTGCTTAAAATTCTTATCTACAAGGTGATTGATTTTCCGGGCCTCTTTACGCCACACGTGTTTGGAATAATTTATTTGAGCTTATCTACTGATATAAGCATTCGTCTGACTTTTTGAGAGAACTTATAAAAACAACCTACATGTTGGGTTTGTCGCAGGCATATAAAGATGGGAAGACAACCATGTCTATTTATGAAAGAAATGCCAGTTTGAAGGAGTTCTATGGTAAGTGTTAAGTGTAACTAAGAACCGATTTTGGATTTTTAGAGAAGTGATTTACAATCTAAATGAATAAACAGGTGTGGTGTTTCCGTCTTTATTGCAACTTCATCGAGGAATCACTGATGTTGATGATAGGAAACAAAAGCATTTGTGCGCTACTAAGTACAAGCGTAAAGAATTAATAAACAACGGAAAGAGCACTGAAATTGATACAGAAGAAGATGAAGAAGAGTGTGATATTTGCATGGAGATGAACACTATGGTTGTATTGCCCAGTTGCAATCATTCAATGTGTATGAAATGCTATCGAGACTGGTAAGCCAATCGTGTTCATAGTTCAGGCAAAAACGCAACCTTAAATGTGATTGTGATGCTATTGCATAGACCTCTAAAACCGTTATATTGCACTCACTCTTTTTTTTCTCTGTTGGTTTAGGCATGGAAGATCGGAATCTTGCCCGTTCTGTCGGGACAGTCTTAAACGCGTAAACTCCGGTGATCTTTGGATATACATAAGCACCAATGAGATAGATGATCTAGCTACAATCAACAAGGAGAATTTGAAAAGACTATTTATGTATATAGAAAAGTTGCCTCTTGTTGCTAGACCCTATATTCATCTCATTTCATCACAGATTATGGTTGCCTCATAGTGGAATCAAAACCTCATTCAAATCTATTGCTTGTAAATAATATATGTTCCACTGTCACTGTATTCCTTTGATTTTATTCATTGAAGCAGTAACATTGCATTTGGGTTGTGATTTTTCAAGTACGCAAACAATATAACAGAACATAGTAAAAGCATTGATCAAAATGACATTTATAATATTTAAAGCCTACACATTAGAGGCACAATGCACAAAGGAGAATTTAAGTACCAACAACAATTGAGGGAAGCTCGAGTAGCTGGCAACAAAGTAACAAGACAACAGATATTCAACCAACACAGATATCGAAAAGTAGCCTACTACAAAATACATAATAGCATCCCTCCACCAATGAAACATTGTATTACAAGTTATGCACGCTGATTTCAATCATCGTCTTCTTCATCATCTTCATCTTCCTCGTCTTCATCATCGTCATCTTGGTGGTCGTCCTGTACAACAAGGAAAGACGGTAAAAATACACATAAAGGAAAGTTTGTTTTCATAGTTTTTCTTTACTCAACTTGCTTATGATATATTCATGAAAGTACAAGAAGATGAATAAGGAATTTGGACTACCTCTCCACTTGCTTCATCTTCGTTATTAACTTCAGATTTGGACTTGTCTGATTCCTCCTCGTCATCCTCGACTGAACTTGCCGCCTATCAACGTTAAGGAAAGTTAAGCACATAAACAAGACCATCAAAGCACAGTGTCCGCAAATCCTAACTCAACTAACAGAAGCCGATATTGCGAGGCTGGACACGATCACCAGGGTTCAAACCCCGCTACTCACGGTTGTGTGTGAGTTTTTTTTAATGGTTATTACCACCACTTCGTCTACAGACCAAAAAAATGCACAAAAACAAGAAAACTAGAAGCAGGGGATATGCTTACTTTGTTATTATAAGCGTTCAGCAGTTTTTCATATTCAACTTTCCTTTTTGCAGCCTTGGCTTCATATGGTGCTTTTTCCTTTACATTCAAAATAAGAAAGTTAGAATAAGACCGAATAAATTATAAATCTCTTCTTCAACAGAATAAATCAAAGATTGCATTGCTTACAGCCTTAGTCAAGGATTTCCATTTCTCTCCTCCAGCCTTTCCAACCTTCAATCAAAGCACACAACAAATTTTTCAGACACAAATTAGGATACATCACGATAAACAACAACGCGATTCAACGTGTAAACAACTTACAGCTGATACAGCCTTCACATTAGGGTTTTCTGCCTTGAAAGTCTTTCTGAAATCCTCACTATGAAAGAAAAGAAGAAGATAAGTCAGAAAATAACAAAACAAAAGAAGCTATAACAGAAAGTTAGAAACGCAGAGATACAAACAGGAAGACAAAGAAAGCGCTGGGAGGCCTTTTTGGTTTGTTGGGATCTTTCTTAGCCTTCTCCTTCTTAGGCTTCGGTGCACTCTTTTCGGGTTTAGAAACAGCCTTTCGCTTTCCTACTTTTCTGTAAACAACAGACATATACATGTTCCGTCACTACACTATTCCTCTAATCAGATAACAATTTCATCAGAAAACACAAAGACATCACACGAGAAGTTGCAATGATAAAGAAACTAACCGGTCATCAACTGGTTTCAGTACTTCCCTCGAAGTCTTTCCAGTTCCCTTGCCCTTTGTCATCGTCTAAGCTCCTCGACTAATACGATCTACAGTTGAAAAAACAAAAGGAATCATCATCAACCACCAGTATCAATTTCACAAGTGTTTCAACAAGATTCTCTTTATGGTGATGGAATAAATTTCACAACCAGGATTATGCTCACATCAGCAATATTAGAACAAGTTTCTCTCTGTAACAACAATTATAACTGCAATTCAAAACCTTATTTACAGCATGATTCATACACACAGAAAATCACAAACTTTCAGATAACTTTTTTCCCTTCAAATTCCAAACATCACATAACCCTCAATTCACATATTTGACTAAAAAATTCAGCATATTTTCCATAAAAAATCAATCTTTAGTACTAAACGAAACAACTCTATGTTACATGTTACATACCCACATGCATAAATTCCTCAAAACTCATCAATAATCATAAATTCCTCTCCATATGCTCAAAAAAATCACAAAAAACAAAAGAAAAACAAAAACTTTGAAAAGAGAAAATTAAGCGAAGAGGAAAAGAAGAAAGAGGGTTACCTTGAAATAGATGAAGGGGAGAAGAGAGGATCTTCAACAAGCGAAGCAGAACCGAACACAGCAAGCTGAGAATCAAAGCGACAAAGGTGTTAGGAACAAAACAAAGAGGGTACAAGTACAGCCAAATATGACCGGAATAGCCGGTAATGTTTTTAGTGACTTCGAACGCTAATCAGAGTCAACCCATATCCATAATGAATGGAGTTTACCTGCAATAGCCGGTTGTCGTTTGAGGAAGATATTCTCGTCAATGATTATTATTAATTACTAATTATTGAATTACTTTTCTACTTTTAATATTTTTTTAATTTTCCAATGTTTCTTTTGATGATTTAAAACTTGGCAATGTATTTCTCTTTCATACCAAATTTTGCAGATATCCTTCAAAACTTTGGGTCATCTACTACGGTCTTATATTTTGTATTAGCCTCGTAGTGAACTTTTTGAATAAATATGATAAATATGTGTTGTTCATTCAAAGTATTAAAGATATTTTTTTTAAAATATTATGTTTAGAGTCATCTATACTCTTAAATATGACAATATTTATAGTAAAAGTTGAAATTGTTAGTGATATCCATCTTATGATTCATTCTTCTCTTTCGCAAAGATTGAGTAACATCTTTGCAGTGAAAGTCGTTAATTTTATTTTAAAGAAATTAATATTTTTTTTCTTTTCTTTTTTGTTTTTTAGCCTTGTAACCAAAAAACAATTCCTCTAATATAATTTTAAATATTTTGTAAAATAAAAATAAATTTAATTTTTTAATCATCGATACTTTTTAAATAAAAAAATAGAAACATAAACTTAATTAAAAAAACAAGTTTAACTTAAAATCTTTGAATTCAATTTTAATTATTTTAACACATTGTATTATTGTTCTATAACATTAATAGTAAGAGTCGAGGCTATTTGTAGATCATTTCTCTTGTCAGACAGTGATAAGGTCACTGGAAAATCTCTTGTAACTTGGAAGAGAATGTGCTCTCCAGAAAAGCAGGGAGACCTCAATATTATAGCTCTTGAATATTGGAACAAAGCCAATTTCATGAAGCTTTTGTGAAATTGAATGATAAAGTGAATAACTTGTGGATCAAGTGGATTCACTGCTACTATATAAAGAACATGAATGTGATGACAATGTCTGCTAAGAGCAATATCTTTGAGATTCTGAAGGCGATTTTGAAACAAAGACAGGAGGTTAATCAATATTAAATATGGAGCACTATGTGCAGGGGCCCAAATTTCATAGCAGAAACGTGTATGATGCGCTGTCGGCGAATTTCCAAAAGATCATTTGGATGAAGATTATTCTTGGAAATGTAGCTCGGTCTAGAGTTATGTTTATCCTTTGATTGGCTTGTCATGAAATAATTGCTACTAAGGATAGGTTGTACAGGTTTGGTATGGCTAATGATGATACATGTTGTTTTTTCTAAGAAAGAGAGACAATTCGGCATATATTTTTCATATGTCAGACTTTGATTGGTTTTTGAAAATATATTCTTTGTTGGTTGCAGATTAACCATACTCCAGCAGATTGGCATGATAATCTCATTTGGATTATTGAAAAATGCAAAAGGGGTGGAAAGCTAACATTGTTAAATGTGCTTTTACTAAAATAATTTACAAAACTTTGGCATGGTAGGAATATGCATTATTTTGATAATGTTGTTAGTAGAAGCTCAATGGACTCTAAAATCATTGACAATATTGTGTATAGGTGTTGGGTTAAACCAAAGCTTAGAAACCATATTGGTAGAATTATGATGCCTCAGTTGTTTGGGGTTTTTGTCTTGATTAGACTTTTTGTTTAGCTGGATCTTTTAGGATACTTTGGTTGTAATCTGTTTTTGGTTATTGAATAAAATATTTTCCTTCTTGATCTTATCTGATCAGAGTTGGACCGTCACAGCTGGTTCGAACGGGATCTGAGAGATGGGGGGTACCTGCAAGACACTCCGATGATAAAGTAAGCGACGGAATGAGCAGGTGAATTGTATATAGGTGTGTAAAGAATGAATACCTGACCCTCTTGGAATAGAGGGTATTTATAGCCCCCAGCATTGGGCCAAGGTCCCTTTACTGGACCGGCCAAAATTGGCCCAACAAAGGGACTGCCCGGTTCTACGTGAGTAGTGGGGACCTGCACGTGGTCCCCTTCCTGAATGATACTCTGCAAAGAATAAGGAAGAACGAAGACGCGATCTTCCCGGAGCTCTAAAGACTCCGAAGAATCCGGAGGGACTGAGAGTCTGCCATACGGGGAGGATGCTCGAGCAAGGCTCGAGTTGGGATATCCTTGGTCGGGGATGCCTCTCATCACGGACCGCGGAGGGCACAACCGTATTAGTTCTACAGCCCGTGACTGGGTATGCTCGGGGGATATGGTTCCCAGTATAGCTCGAGGCACGGTTTGGATTGGGCCTTACTTGTGATTTGGGCCAAGGGCAGGCCCAGTCCAGAACAGGAGCCCCCTAAGTCGTTGTTCTTAGTACATGAGTTATGACTTGATCCCAGTTCGTTCTTTCGCGGGGACCTTGTGCCTGGTACCAGGTTTTTTCATGTCGAGGGGTGCTCGAGGATTGCTTGCGGGGACGCGTCAATTGTGTCTGTTGGTGTTGTACCCCAAAATTTGCCCTCCCATATCCTCAACATTTTCTCATCACAAGACCTTTGAAGATCAAGATCCAGTTAGGGTTTCCTCTGCTCAAGACTTCTCCTTGCACTGTGGACTCAAATTAGGGTTTGTGTTTGCCCAAGGATGTTTTGACCTAAAATGCCTAAGATGACTTTCATGCTTCATGTTGGACTCCCAAGTTTACCCATGCCAAGTTTCAAGTCTTGATTCCAAGTTTTGCCCAGTCAATTGGACAGTTGACCTAGAAATCAACTGCATTGGGGAAAAAGTCAACTATGGCCAATTGACAGTCAAACCTCATGAAATTTGACCCACATCAACATTTTGAATTCATATGGACCATTTGATCAAGTTTGGATCACAATTCCACAAGAAATTTGATCAGATCACCAAAAGGGCAAAATGGTCATTTTTAGGGTTTTGACTGCACAAAGGCAATTTTTGACTGTTTGACCTAGCCAATGGCAAACCAAGCTCACATATGGACTCAAGGACCCCATGGAATTATCTTGACATGTTCATCAAGCTCAAAAGATCCCAAGTACACAAGGTTGACAGTTGAATTTCCCAGTCAATTGATCAATTTTGACTGTATACTGAAAAGTCAAACTTTGACTTTTTGGTCAAAATCAAGAGTCAAGATTCATTTTTCATCAAAACTTGCCAAATCATGAAACTTGTTCACCAAGAAATCACAAAATGCAAATTAGGGTTAGAAAATGGAATTTTTCATAACTTAGAATTTTTCTAAGTTATGAAAAACCCTAATTTTTTCCCAACTTTGCCCCACTTTTTCACCATGATCCATTTGGATTCAAACAAAAGTCAAAACATGAAAGTTGTAGCTTGTTGCATAATCTACAACTTTGATTCACAAAGTTTTCTCATTTGAATCTTGTATCTCAAGTTACAATTTTTTGAATAAGGGCACTAAACCATTTTTAACTTAGTGAGATTTTAACCTATTTTGACAAGGTTTTCTACCCCACTTCAAGGCCATTTTTCATACCCTTCCACTTGGAATTTCAACTTGCATTTCAAAGATGGATTGTATTACACATTCCAAGCTTTCCAAAATGTCCAAAAACTTTACAAACAACCTCATAACTTGAGAGATTCGAATTTCACAAGTTGGCAAAAATTCACTTTTGTTCTTCATCAAAACATGTCCATAACCTTGCCATTTGAAACTCAGCTTGCTTTATGCTTGATTACAGGTCCTTGAACCATTCCATACTCAATAATTTAATGCATATTCAATGTGTTAAAGTGTTGTTCTTTGAGTGCAAGCATTGTATGCAAGATTAATCCTAAACTAGATAAAGTGAACTTTCCATTTTTGAAAAGATTAACTTTATGTCCAATTGCAAATCAAGAAAGTACATGGAAAATCTGCTTGGCACAAGATTATGTGCATAACACACTGATCAAGAGAGGATTATACAGCACATTAAGAGGCCCCCTACTGACCTAAACCATCAACTTGCTTTTGTTTGCTTCAAGTTCAAGAAAAGGGCATAACTTGTACCAACTCTCTCTTCAGCTGAAAAACACAAGAAAGAAGTTATCAAACACATTCCATAGAACATATCCAAGCTAACACACGAGCCCTTGGCCTCTCAAACACTCCCATTGCCATAATCACCTTGAAACTGCTCAAACAGAGCAACCCCTGCAGATTGAGTGCTATCTCTCAATCCCTTCAAGCATTCTTGCCCAAACCTGTTCCTCTACCTTCCTTACAACTTATGCAAGCTAACCATGACTTGAAACCTGACCTGTAACACCTCCAAGCCACTTCACCATTTTTAAATTTCTGTTTTGCAGTTGGA